CTTATCAGACTTCTTCATCGAGTTCACTGGGATTCGAACCAGCAACTCTAGCTTACAAAGCATTGTTGTTGCATTTTCCACTTTTTCATATGTTAACCCAACTACAATCATGGGTCACTATTCTGCTGCGTTTTAGACGTGATCAGGTGTTTATTGCGGTAGTTGTTATTTTAAGTATTTTAACATGAAGGCGTGTACGTCCTTAAATATTTGGGCTTTTTGTTATTTAAATAAAAATTGTTCAGCTAATATGATTTATAAGGATTATAGCACTAAAATGAGTACCAAAAGTTTTAAGTGCGAAAGGGAACACTTTGTAAATTTTCTGTTTGAAAGCAAAAGTGAAAATGAGCATGCAACTTTTGATGTTTTGCCAGCGGACCATTGCCTTTACCCTCAGCCAGAATATAGTATGGAAAATGGAGCATTTTCAAAATTACATTAGAATCTTACTAAATACATTAAAAGTGGGTTAGAGAACTATATACCATTTTCTCGAGTGTAGAATTATATTCCATATAACGCTTCTCGGATATGTTTGCATGTACAGAATCAGAAACATTAGGGCGTATCACGAAGAACGTTTAGTGTACGTCAATTTTATTTGAACGCTTACGTCGAGAGAAAATTATGGATGTAAACAATTTTTTAAGCACCCGATAAAACAACTAAATCTGGAACATAACTGGCTATTAGAAACCGTTTTGATTTATATCTCAATTAATTTTGGAAATACTACCCTTAGTTTTTTATTTTTATACCATACATCTAAGGCCCGCAAAAAATTATGAACACTAAACAATTGTTAGGTTTTATTAACATGCACTTGGCCGGTTGTAATTGAGTCGGGTTAAATAACAATTGAGCGAGTTTCAGTAAAGTTTAAAGTTTTACTGATGGAGCGATCGCAACTGTAAAAAAATGTTTTTTGGACCGAAGAATCTGTTCAGCAACAAGCTTCCAACAAAACGGGATGTAATAAAATACTTATTTTTATAAAAAAAGAGGTAAGTATTTCGGTGCATAAAAATGCTATGTTAATTATTATTTACCAACAAGAAATTTCTTAAAATTAAACAGATATTTTATTTTACATTCAATATACTGAGCGTTTGGTCCATATTATAATTGAATCTTTACTTGCAGTTTCAGACAAAAATAGAGTCACTTATCGGATGTGGCTGAATGGTTAGAGGTACTATTCCGGAGGACCTGGCATCAATCCCTACTCCGGACAGCATCTAAATTAGAAAAATTATTTTCTAACAGCGGTCGACCCTCGGTAGGTAATGGCAAACCTCCGAGTGTTTTCTGCTTGAAAAAGCTTCTCATAAAAACCATTTGCCGTTCGGAGGCGGCGTAAAACTTTAAATACGTGCATTTATGTAACAACAAGGCCCACACCACAAATCGCAGAAGAAGCTCGACCAAACACAAATATTATTATTATTATTGTTATAATTAAGGCAGCTTAAAAGTGGTTGAATAAGAGAAATATTTTTAGAGAAGCGAAAATAAAGTAAATATTAAGAACTCGATTTGAAAAATTTGGTGAAAACTAGATTAGGCTTATACAAACGCACAATTTCTACAAAAGAACTTTATCCTGGATGTATAAGGATACTAGTTAGTCGCAGTACGCTTCACGGAACTTTTAGGAAACTTTTTCGTTTAACTTGCTTGCCTGCATGAAGTTGATAACTGTGATCTAAAAAAACTTAGTGGCCCAACGGTTGTAAGCTTTATGTTTCAACTGCCGCATTAAGATACACATCGGAAATTACCTAATTGACTATTTACGTACCTCCACATTTTTTTATACACGGCACTTATAAAAACGAAGCTGTTTTTTAGGCAATGACTCTTTTGAATACAAGTGATGTGAAGTTAGATGAGAATAAAAAAAAACACAATAGCGTTAAAAATATTATAAATATGCATTTTGTAGGTCTATTTAATAACAAATTAATGAAGGGTGGTAGTGAATGGGTTTTAGAGAGTGTTTTCTGTTGTGTATTTATATAATATGCGTATGTACATACATATGTATACTCGTACTATTTGGTAAGCATACATATGTATACGTACGCGTAGGTTAGATTTATGTATGTATATTTTAGGCAAATAAAAAAATAATGTCATTGTTACCTTTATACATATGTATGTATATTTATTTACTATTTTATACCTTTTGTGTAATAAAAAAATTTAAACTACCTCTAATATAATATATATATGTATGTATATTCATTTAATATTATAATATGTCTAAAATTAAAAATTATTCTTGCAAGCAGCAAGTGCTTAATTTTGTATTTTTTGGGCTTGGTTGTTTTGTTTTTATTAATATGTACTCATAATTTTTTGTTTGTTATATCTAAATTGTAAATGTATATTTAATGCTAATATTTACTATACTTTTTGGTTTTGGTAAATTTTTGTTTCTGTTGTTTAGTTAATAATAGACAGCGTAGCATAGGAAGACGTCAATACCTGCATAAGACATTTTAGCCATTTTTCTTTATTTTTATGTATGTTTCGTTTTTATTTATTAATTATATATTTTGTCATGTACATACAGTTTTCATTAAAAACTTGACCTTGGTTGCGATTTGTTTGTGTTTTTATCTCATCTTAAATTTCATGATTTTTTCAAATCTTTCTTCTTAAATCATTAATAAGAAACAAACAAAAAATATTGTTGAAAGTATGCGGACTATTGAATAATGAATTTTAAGATTGGAGTCGCAATTTTCTTACTACCTTTTAATTTTATATATTTATTTTTGTGGAAACACAAGTAGATACATAATTGGTTTTTTGAGATTTGTTTGTTGTATGCTTGTGTGTATTAGTAAGTATAATTGGTTCTTAGTATTTTCGAATTTCGGGGGCATTTAACAACCTTTTAGTGTTCACATTATTTGTTTCGGAACAGAATTTTACTCTTCAGTTTATCTGCAGTTTACAATTATGATTTAAAAATATTTATTTTTATGTTCTTTTATCTTTTATTTGTTGTAAATATTTTTCGCAGGCTCATACAATTACATACTTATATATGTATATACATAAGAGTTCATGCTTGGTTTTTAGTTTTTTTTAGAAAGAAGCTTACTATTACGAAGTACCTAAATATAGTCATCTTTTAGGAAATCCTTTAATTTTCGTATGCCCTTCCACATACGTTTGTATCAACTCATTTGATTAGATATTTTTGTATTCATAATATTATTCATATTTGTTTGTAGACACTTAAAGCATTGAGACGATTTGGTTGCACTCAATAATGTATTCGCCTTGTACAGTACATACATACGTACATATATATTTATATGTAAACCCACGTGTATGCACATATATACTAGATGATACGTACATATGTAGATATGTTTTTGGTGTATGCATGCAGGAGTGTGTATCTTTGTTTGTAGGACAATTAAAGTTTTGCTGTACATCGTATTTAAATTGATTTTACCGATGACGTGATACATACATACACATATAATAACATTTCATTCCTACATTGATCTACACAAATTTTACATTTTACAGATTCGTACCTAACTATGTATGTATTTAATTTGTCTAAGTTTAATTATATTTACCTAAAATTCATAATCATAAATAGTAGGCAATCTAAAAAATAACAGAATATCGTCATGAAAAATATGTTTATAACAGATTTTTTCTCTAAACAATAATAACAGGCGTTAGCATCCCTAATTTATTTGTTTCACTCACACATATGTATGTCCATGTGTATATATTTATGTATATAATATTATATTATATATATGTAGTTATTTAAGTTGTTGTAATACATATATAGTAGATGCTTTGAATTAGATTTGTTTCACTTTGTTTTAAAGATTGATTGTATTTTTAAGCTTCTCGGGTTTTCTTACGATACTTTAAACTTTATTTGGTCGCTATACAAGAAAATTTTGCCTTGGACGCATCGAAAAACATGAATTTCTTCTTAAGGTTTTTTGTTTTTTTTTTTTATTTACAGTATATTATTTGTTCTATTTAATATGATTCCGAGTTTCTGATATATAATTTTAATTGTTCAGGGTTTAAGTTTCATCTAGTGCTTTAAATAGTTGGTTTTGTTATGCATTTTGGAAATTGTTTTTTAGCGGTACACATAGAAAAGCAGGTAAGCTTTAACACTATTTTTCAATATGTTCGACTATCGCACTGGAGTTTTTCATTTAAACTTTTATCCATTTGATACGCTAAAAGGATCTTTCTCTGCCGTATTAATAAACGCATACAAACGTGTAATAATTCGACTTTATAACTAAGAACTTTAACCAATTCATAAGCAAAACACTAAAAAATCTAAGCGAAAACTCAAGAAAAATGGCAGCAGATAACATACATAGCTGCCAAGGCAGTGCGGCTTGATAAGAGTTAAAAATAATATAAGTATTGTGTTTTTAATTTCATTAGCATTCGTACGTGCGTGGTCAAACCGCGTTCAGACGAAATACTTGACGGTGGTACCGAGGGGATCAGTACTTGGACAGTAGGAGCTTTAGTTGGAGTCCCACACTGAAATGTACAGGCTTTCGATGCTTCCTCCTAAAAAAAAACAGCTTAAAAGTGGAGGAAATGTTATTAGTTGCGTTCGCGTAGCTGTTAATTGTTCAAAGTTAACCAAAACTTTCAGGTTTTTGCGTTCGCGTACGTAAAAAACTTGCAAAGTAGGGCAAATTGAGAGAGCAAAGTGACATTTCATTTTGAGGGGAAGCTACTGGTTTCTGCTGGAAAAATTTTTGCCAACAGGAAAACAATTGATCAAAAACAGCTGGTAGGAATTTACGCAAATCACAAAATTGAACTTGAAGGTTTGGAAGTTAAAATGATAAAATGCGACTAATTAAACTTGTAAGAACTAAGTAGTTATTCGTTAAATCAATAAACTGTGTCAGGAAAACTTTTCGTGATGAGTTTTCGTACGTTTTAAATTTTACAATTTTGAATGTAAACAAAAATTCTATCAGCTGTTCGTCTAACTTGCAAGTTTCTGCAAATTTTCTGTTCGCGTACTATTTTGGATATATTTCTCCTGTGAGAGAGCAGATGACATTTTGCCGGAATTTTGTTGTTGGATGTTTTTTACCGGAGATTTTTAACGACAACTCCTGTAAACGATTCGTATGAGTTTTTCCAGGTGTTTCGTTTAGTATCTTCACAAGGGTTTGACCCGTTATATATGTGTGTATGTACATATGTATATACATGGTCAGAGGTAAGAACCATTTTTCATGCTAAAAATATGTTCAAGTTTTGATATTATTTATGCATGAACAACTCACCAATTCCTGTAAAATTTAATTTTTTGGAGACTATCGCTCTGTTCCGAAATTATAATTTATTTGTCTAAAAATGAGAATCATTCCGGTATACAAACATTGCGATTTGCAAATCTATTGTTCATTAAAAATATGTGGTATACCTAATTTTGTATTGCATCGGCCGCATGGGATTGTCCTAAATAAAACAGATGTATGCGTACCTATATGTCCTAACTCCATAAACGTCCACAATGTGATACATATGTAATGAAAAACTTTAAATATGCAGTTTTCAAATTTTGTAGAAAGAAATTTACATGTTGGGTATTAACACGGTGTGGCCTTACTAAATTTCCAACATTTTGTATCCACATAAATACGTGTGTATGGTGCTCTCCAACCCTATTCTGGTTCTTTAAATACAAACATATGTATATCAAATATACAAACTCTTAGAAACTCATATGAATTCTGTGGTGGGAATTTGCCACCAGCTTCGTGCTTTAAAAGTTGTCCTTATTAAAAAATTCCTTTTCTTTTACTGCCCTTTTTACCCATTTTACAGCTTTAATGATCTTCTTCTTTTTAATTTCACTCACAATTTCCATTTAACTAACTCCCAATCTTCATCAGTTTTTTTCTTTTTAATTACGCGCATCTCTGTCTTGTATAGTACATGCATTTATAGAAAATAAAAATTATTGTTTTATTTCGTCTTTCATGGTGAGTAAATAAGCAAAGCTCTCAAAATCTTCCCAGCTTAAAAATCTTCGTAGACGATAATATTTTCATGCACACCCACAAGTACACCTATACAACTACTTAAATACAAACACAAATTTAAACTTATACACATACAGTCGCAGGGCCCATCGCCTTTTGGGCGTTTGTCTCATTTCTTTTGTGCAATTAAATTTAAACTGTTCGTCCCTTACTAACATCGCTTTTCACATACATACATATGTATGTTCACTTTTAAAGTTCACAAAGTTTTTCAGTTAAAATTTCTGTTTCTTTCCTTTTCGGTACATTTTGTTGTCTTTTGTTTCTTTTCCCTTTTAGCTTTAACTATTTTGAATTTTATATATTTTTATATTTATTACACATACATATGTAGGTATGTACTTCTCTTTCTGTTTTAATTTATACTTTTTACATACAGTCATTACTTTATTGTTTGTTTCCCGGCTATCCGGCACCACCCTGTCGTTTGCTCAACAACAACAAATGCGCAAGTACGTAAACATATATTTCACCTGTTCTCTCTAACTTTTTACATTTCGCCGGTTCATTTTTATATCCAGTTTCCGTAACGTTGCCCCCTTTTTATTTCTAAGCATCTACTGTTTTGTTTTATTTGCTTGTGTTATAAAGTATGTGAAGAAAGGAATAGGGGTATTTTGCTAAAGGTACATATCAGCTGGGTTTAATTGTAGTTTCAACTACAGCGAACCAAGACTTTTGCTTTTACATTCGGTTGGTTGATCGGTGGGCCGAGACGGGGTTGCGCGGATAACCGAAGCCGGAGGCACCTACCGTCAGACTGCCGGTGCGTGGTAGCTTCCTTTTTTATCCTTCAGTATCTCAACATCTGCAACAGAGCTACCTGCAAAATCAGTGAAGCCCACGTGTAGCTGCTTCCCAATGTGAGGCTGATGGTTGGCCGGCCCGCTGCAGCCGTCTCCGCGGTGTGTGAGGCGCCATTGCCTAACGCTGCCATACCTATGCTGGGGACTGCTGTTGTTGTCGACGATGTTTCCGCTCGTATGAGTTCAACTGCAGAAAGTAGACGGGAAAGAATAGGTTGGCGTATGAGCGGTTGAGGCGGAGAGAACACAAACGACCGCGGCACATGGAATAGAAAGAATAATAATAAATTTTGAGTTAAAATTCGACTGCATAAAAAGTACAATGTATTCTGCGCCTTTCACCGTCTCATTGCTAACAGCGAGCAATGCTGGTGCTGAAATATTTTGCCAAGGCATTAGATTGACATTTAGTGTAAAGGTAAATTGATGAAATTAATTGGGCACAGCAAAGAGACTTAAGCCAAGCCGGCAGACAGCAAGGCATACATAAAAGTTAAATGCACATACATATATATCGATGTACTCTGGAATAACGGCACAAATCAAAATGAAAAATGAAACCTAACCCCTGCGCTGGTTAAGTGTCTAATATCTCTAATCTTTGCTTAATCGATATCGTATCTTTTTTAAAGTAAGTAGTAAAGATTATTACAAGGATTAGAGACATGACACACTTAAAAGTAGTACTTAAGGTTTATTTTTTTATTTTTGAGTTACATACAGTTATATACAGGGTTACCGGAGAAGTCGGCCTAAATACTTAAGAAGAATATTATTTAGGTAATTTCTGACTACTTTGGTTACATGACATGATGTTCAAAACTTAACCGTTTTCGAGATATTCGATTGTCAACTTTATTTTTTTTTTGCCTGGACGTTCACTTTTTTACATATTAGCTCAAGGGTCCGATTTTACTGTTCTTAGTTAAAGAGTATGTCCTATAATAAAAATCATTAACAAAACTTGCTGGAATACTTCTTCTGAAGTGAGCTGGGCAGTCATGATGTTGGAAACCGTATTTTGTCTAACAGCAAGAGGAAATTCAAAATGGCGGATCCAAAATGGCGACCAATTTTAGAAAAAATTGAAACTCTTAACCGTCATGTTGAATTTTGAAAATCTGACATCAGATTCGCAATCAGCAACCCCAGAAACACACTGGAAACGTGTTTTAACCCTTGACAATGTTTAATATGTTCAGTACCAACATTTTAATTTTAGTACTTTTTTTAATTTGATCGCCATATTGGATCCGCCACTTTGAATTTAAAGAAATTGACTTCATATTCGTAATCGGCGACCACAAAAACTCTCAAGCGCCGGGTTTCGAACAAATCCAATAAAATGGACCGCCATTCTGAATTTCGAAAAACTGACTTCAGATCCCTAATTAGCAGCCCCAGAAACCCCCTGGTAACAAGTTCCAACCCATGACAATGCGTAAATCGTTCAGTATCAACGTTCTAATTTTACTAGTGTCTTTTCGAGGCCATATTTTCGGGAACTAGACCCATTCTTATTGTCCAAGACAGGTTTGTAATTAAGGGAAAGTTCACCAATAATACCAGACTAGTTATATGTAAAAAACAAATTTTTAGCTGCATTTTAACATGTCAAGAAAATAAAAAAAATTTAGAACATCAGCGCTTTTATAAAAAAACCGACCAGCGCGACATCTAAGAAAACTTTTTTTTCAAAATATGAATTATTATGAATTTCCAAAAAGAGTGTTTTTATGAACCACTCTAAGCAAGAGGCACGTAATCTCTTCAAATTTTCGAGGTTCTCGCCATTCATGCATGCGACGTTATCCTCATCTATTGGATGATGTTATAGCCAGTGTTGCCGTTTTAGCCCTTTGGTGGCTAAAATTAGCTACCGCATACTTTTTTTGGCCACATAAATTTAAAATTTCCACTAGCCCTTTTTAGACTTTATTCATACTTGGCATGAAAACGTTGTACATATATGCTTAATTTGTTTTTTTTTGCAGTCATGTAAGAGATGAATTTTTAAACTAAGAAAGACTGATATATATACATATATGTATCGTATGCTCCTTACGCTTTCATCCATACATACTGTAAAAGTGTGGGGCTGTTAACTTATCTGTTAACGATTTAACTATAGTTTAAAATAGATAAGTTCACGGCCCTTAATATGCCAAATTTGTTAAACGACCCATCAAGTCGATTGACCGTGTATGTTCTTGTGCTGTGATTATACCAGCATACTGGTGTCGTGAGTGGTGAAATTAGCTCAATTTTCTAAGTAAAAAGTATTTTGGCGGAAATTTCTTGCCCTATCTCAAAGCCGTGTTTGTGGAAGATTACGTTCACGATACTGCAGTTGTGCTCTAATCATTTCGATCTTTCCTCAACCTCATTTTTAAAGAAATAAGTATTGTACCAGCATGCTGGTAAGTTATATGCTTCGAGCCTGATGGTACAATCACTTGATGGAACCACCAAGCTGGTGTCGTATATTTCCCCTTTTATATAAAAAGGTTTTTGGTTGGATAAAATATTAGCTTTTTTCCACACTTCATTGTTTTTATATACCATTACTTATTGAAAATGTTTACGTATATACTTATATATGTATATGTAAGTAAAAAATTTTAGCTACCATTTTTAGCCACAACGATTTTTTAGCTCTTTTTTAGCCCTTTTATTAAAGGATTTTTGGCTACCACTAAAAATTATGCGCGGCAACACTGGTTATAGCGTCTTTGATGGAACTTACCGAAGACTACGAGGAACTGATTCTGTTCGTGTCGAACTACCATAATGTGCACTATTACGCTCCGAAAGACTAATGGCCTTATTCATAAAAAATAAAGTAGGTTTAAAGAGCTTTATAAAGTGACGTTTTCACACATTTTTCAATTTGTAAACCTTTTTTAAAGCTACTTTATTTTTTCTGAATATGGCTGTAAGGCTACCCAAATAAAAAGATAACGAGAGAGCACAGAGAATATTTAGCGTGAATGTGAGGATAGGAATACTTTCTAATTTTTGTATTAGGCTATTGTTTTTGCCTGATTGGCTGAATGGCGAGGAGAAGTTTTTTTATGAACAATTTACTCGAATGAATAGAAGACGTACCTCTTGCTGTAAGGAAAAACATGCATTTCCAACATGATGACTGCCCAACTCACTTCAGGAATGGCTGGGAATAGGTGAACCAATACCATGACTGGCGAGGAGCCCAGACTTAACGTCGATGGATTTTCACTTTTGGAGTAAAATGAAACGATTCATAATGACCTCAATCGATATAATGTGGATGTCCTAAAACTGGGGATGTGCGGCCGTTTTTCTGTTATCCGACTACCCGGACGGATATTGGCTAAAATCCGGATTTCGAGTATAGAAGATCCAATTTAAAAAACCCAGGCTAAAATTTTTGTTGTGTTCTTAAAATCAAATTCAATAGTATTTAATTAGTAATTAAAGTTAAGAAATTTATATTTTTCATTATGAAAAGAAGCATCTCCGCATATAAATGCTACCCGATAGACTAAACACTCTTTTCGAGTTTACTGGGGAAGGTGGTGCGCAGAGATATTTCATTGCCAGTGTAAAAAAATTTTGAAATTCTTTGCGACTATGCTTCCACCAAATTAAAGGATCTTCTAGTCACAATTTGATACGTTTATTTCAATTGTTATTTTTGTTCAATTTTACCCCAATCAAATTAAACGTTTACAATTTTGCGTGCACAAATACAAATGCTGAGGAGAAAAAAGGTGAAAAAGCAATACATGACACGAAGAGTAATCGTTTTTAAGTTTCTAGGTAAGTCAAGTCAAGCCTAAGTCTTGCATACACCAGCTTTGAAGCTTCGCCAGGGGAGAAGGTTGCCCTGAAAATCAGATGGCTGCTTAAAACGTCAATATTATGAAGTAAGTGAGCTGGACAAGAACTGAAAGCAAAAACATGCCCTTTGGAGGGTTGAGTGTAACATCAAACAAATTTTGCACCGGGAAGGGCAAAATATTTTGGAAGCAACGAAATCACCTCACACACTCCTTGATTTACCGGCAAACCAGTTGGTCAAATACTAGAAGTTGGTTGTAAATAAGCCGTATGTAGGCAAGTTGGTCAACCTTGAGCAAATGAAAACTGTTTACCCAAAACTTTACGAACTTTCGAAAAAATACTGTAATTTAGTTGGTACCTCGGTGCCTGCTGAGTGTCTTTTTTCAAAAGGCGGAGCTAAAGCCATCAAGAAACACAACCGCTCAACAACAAAACGCTCATCAAGACTTTTTTTATTGGAAAAATAGTTACATAATAAACAATTATCGGCGCTAAAAAGAATGGTTTTATTTTATTTAAGGCTTAATTAACAAGAGAAGTAGAAGTTCTTCATGGAAAAATGTTTTGGTGAATACTCACTGTAAAAAATGCCTTAAAAAGTTCGATTAATCGATTATTTTTTAATAATTTCAATTAACTGCAATCATTTGTTTTGGCTTCTGATTAATCATATAAGTAATTAATCGATTATTTTATTTTCTTGCCATCCCAGCATATGAGAAAATCTGGCGAGTTGTTTTTTTAATGTCACTCCATTCTTTCGGCAGAAAAAAAACGCTAAAGCATTCTTATTGCATTTATTTCAATCAATGGAGTTCGAGAAATAAGTACAACAAAAATAAATCAAGTGTTTGAACAATTTTAGCCTTAAAAAGTTTATTTAGGCGAAAAAGTACCGAAATTACACACGTTTTCATTGATTTGATTTGATTTATTTGATACTTAATCCTAGCACAACAATTCAAGGAATTATTTAATAGTGCTAGTCACAGAATTATAAATAAATAAAGCTAAGGACAAAGGATAAGTTTTGTGATATTGAAATTACAAAATTTGTTTAGTATGGAACATAAATAATTTTGAATTAAACTCTAAAAATAACAATATTTTACTTAAACAATATAAAAGAACATACATCTACATGTAACTACTTAGTAGTATAGAAATTGGTTAATTCTTTTTTGAAACAAAGTGCATTATTTAATTGTCTTAATCTAGTGGGAAGAGAGTTCCAAAGAGGTATAGAGTGTATGAAAAACTGTCGTTCAGACACACGAGTTCGATATTTGATGTGCACTATAAGTGTTAGGGACACGATATCGAACCGAAAGTATCGCTATGGTATTCATTTAAAGCATCGCT